CTTTTTCTCACCAACAGTGACCAAATGACCCTACTATACTGTGCAGTTGATAGAATAAAAAACAAACAACGCGCATGCGTGAACTTAAATATATAAAATGGCGACGGTTTACGAATCGCACCCTGTGTATTGCATACGATCCAACCAGAAAAATTGAAAATAAATCCAATGATTATTTATTGCAATATAATTACAATTTTAGCACAAGGCCGAAAAAGAAGTGGGGTGAGGCTAGCTATCCTAAACGTAGCTAATCTGATTCACAAACCGTTCATTCATTAGAATTTACCCTATCACCACAAGAACTCATACATCATCGTTCGATCCAACACATACCACAATACCGCATATAAATAAATCCAATGTATCTAAATGTAAATTAGAGACACGTCATAATAGATAGTTCCATCTTAAATAAACCAAAAATGTGTTGCGGCAATTTTTAACATCAACTTGAGATTTTTCTTGTTAAAAAGTTGAATAAATTAACGCATTCAATATTATAGATAAAAAAAAACATAGGTGTTGTGGTAGGATCCACCTAATTTGCATAGTGGAGTACCGACCATATAAATATGGTTGGTACCGGGAAGAGAGGGAGGAATCAAGAGATTCAACCAGAGACTGCCCGATTACGACTCAGACAACACATTCTCCAGGAACGGTCTTACCAGGAATATACAAGAGACTATATGTAAATATTGTGTACACTTTCTTGTTTCAATACATTTTGTTCTAAGTACATTTTGTGTTGCATTATTATTCCATGCATTAGTCAAGTTTCAACAATAGGGAATATATTTTTTTCTAGATTAAGCATGTGCAAGACAAATACACGGACTTTGACGAAAAAAAAGACCACATAATGACGTCAAAATCCGCGAATATTTTTCATCCTTTAATAGTGAGTTGTGTTTAGTTTAATTTGTAACGTATATAAATGTAGGTAGAAAAACAAACAAACAAAAAAAAAACAAATGCTGATAAGATAACGCCCGGGGCTCCCAATCAAATCTGGGCTCCCCAACGGACGGAGTGTTCGGGGGAATAGTAGGTATAATTCTCCCGAAACCTTATTGTCTGTGAATCAATACGTACTCATTATTATTATCTTTCTAGACACGTGTTCTCAACTTGATCAAACGGTTCCAGCCGTTCTACCAACCCCTAGACTTACCGTTTTTCTCTTACTCTTCGTCCTTTTCTTTAAACTGACAAACCAAATCTCTTGATTCACCGGCTACGATTTAATAACATTCTGCAGTTTTTTTATTTATTTTTGTTCTCATCGATATTTTCCAATTGATTTAAAGCGGCGTTTTTCAAACTTTTTTCTTTTACTGCAACCCACAGCAAGAATCACATTTTGCATTACGACCAGCTAAATTACCGAAAATTCCGAGACTTCAAATGAACATAATCTATCCTCTTACTACCATAGAAGTGTCGGTAAGCTTCGACCGAATATCTGAGGAGATTAAGATCCTTACTTAATTCCCCTCGGCCAGCTTTCATATTTGAGGTTTCAATATATAGTCCACTCCAACAAAACCGATGTTGTAGGCAGATATTGAAGAGACTTCTCAATTGCCTACGCACTAACCCAGACCATCGGAGAACCTGACCGGGTCCCTCACACGACTTCTTCGAGCTATTCCTAACCTCATACCTTGATAAATGATTATCAAAAGTTTCACCTCCACTAGGCATGCAAGACCATTTCCTAATCAGTGACCAGATTGATACCAAACCTAAGGCATCTCCTGATGCACCGTTCCATAGATGGATTTATGTGAAGGAAGACTGAGACAGATTTCGATCCTATATGATGGAAAATCCCTTCCCAAACTTCTTCAAGCATTCTGCCTCACAAACTGCTGCCCTTGATTGGATCCTTTTTGGAATGGAGATTTGATATAATGGAATAATGATACACCTGTGTTCTCCCTAACTGGAATGTGATTGGCTGGTGTCCGTCATAAATACCGACGGACGTGTAGGTACGACAGAGTCAAGAGAGCCTTAGTCTCACAGCTAAGTCTATAACGACGCCCACTGGACTATGCCATTGATCTACACTTCTTACCTGCGACTACGACGCGTACCAGTCGATTACTTCTATCGTATTCTACTTAGTTATAGTAGCCAAAACCACTTAGATACTTCCTTCAAATATATCCCTTTCCGGGACATTTCAAGACTCTTATACCCCACAAAAAAAGCCAGTTAGCCCTGGTTTACCCCTGAATGTGCTACAGCCATAACTCATCGAAAACAATACTTCAATATCAATCGCAAAGAGCGATGTAATTTGTCCCTCACTGTATTCAGAATTGCTCACAATCGCTGCAAAAAGGTTCTAGAAAACGCCAAGTGCAGCTACGCACGAGCAGTCCCGACCAAAGTAGAAAAAACAAAAAACAAATTTGGATCCCGTGAATTCTGGAAGATCACCAACCAAATCATGAATAGAGGTAAAACGGATGCGTCCACAATTATAATTGGCCTTGTGAGGATATCCCTTCGCCTCGATCTTTACCTCTGATTCAACGTTAGCTGAAAAAGACCTTTCCCTCAACAAGTTCCCATGTCTCACTGAGCACAATTTTAGTAATATTACTGTCACAGCACGCGAGGTCTCTAGACTTAATCCACTGGTCCAGACAAACTTCTAGTGGTTGTCCTTAAGAACATCATATCGGAACTATCCACAATTCTATCAAAATTATTCAACCGCTGCTTGAAAGAAAAATCTTTCCAAATCCGTAAAATATGTGTAGTGTATGTCCAGTTTTCAAGAAAGCGATCGTACGATCTTCCCCCTCTCAGTGCAAATCCGATCCTCAGTATCATCAGCAAGCTCTTTGAGGCTATAATCAATGAAAAGTCGTCGTGCACCTAGAAAATAATACCCTCTTCAGCGACGAAGAGTATGGTTTTCGGTCAGTTTGATCCACTGCTGATGTCCATCACCGACAGAATCAGTGATGACAAACACATCTCGAGGACCATAGCACGAGATATGTCAAAGACCTTCGACAAGGTGTGGCACAAAGGCTTACTACACAAGCTCTACAGTTATGGCATGAAATAAAGGGTTTTCTCGATCATAAAATTCTTCCTAATAGGTTGGTCCCTGAAGTTATCAATGGCAAGGCTGTCGGAGCCCTAGCGCTTAGCGCTTAGCGCCAGCGATCCATATGGTCCCTATTCGCACGAACCGCCTTTTTGATTGACATAAATGATTTGCCTAAGAATATACTCAGATCATTTGTGAAAATCTATGCCAATAATACGACTAAATACGGGCACACCTCTAAGACTCTTGATGGTCAGAGATCGACGACTGATCTCTCTTCCGATCTTGCCTAAACTACCCAATGGGGTAAAAACTGACTGGTTGCATTCAATACCTGTACCTCTAACGGCATTCACCCGGGGTGGGTTGAGCCGGCTCCAATATTGGAGTTTCATGGGAATTTGGAATTCACAAGCGGTCCCCAAACCCGCATGTATAGCCCATGAGATTTGATTATAGTGGTGAAGGTTTCGTGCAGAACCATCCACACCTTTTTGAAGGGCCGAATACAGAGACCTGGTGCACTAAGTACCACAAGGTCCCCAAACGACCCTCCGCAGGTTTTGAATTCAGAGTTGTCTTTCTCTTAGACAAGTTGCCATCCAAGGCTATAGAACCCAGTCTGTCCTGCTATTTACCCATAGCTGGAGGGAGAAGAAGAGGATTCACACCTTTCCCAAGGGTATTAGCACGTAAGTGAATGTAATGGATTCGACTGGAATTCGAACTCGGGTCTCCGATTCTTCAATCCAAGCCAATATCCATTACTCCACCGTGCCTTCTTCAATGCCTCGAAGACTAAGCTAGTAACATTCCATCATCTATGTTCTGACCCCGAACTATCACCAATCGGGATGAACGGATGTCCTCTCAGGAAAACACCGTAACACAAAAGACTATCGCGCCTCAAACTCACACCCAACCTCGTGGAATTCGTAGGTACGATCTATTTCTAAGGTTGCAGGTAAAATGGTTGACTCCCTGTACTGCTCCAGGAAGTACTTAATCCCTCCTGCTATTTTCTACCATTACAAGAGCCAGATCAAGCCAAAAATGGAGCACTGTTGTTATATTTGAGCGGGAGTTGTCCAGATCTCACACTTTAGCCTTGATAGAGTCCCAAAGCGTCTCCGTGCCCTTGTGTGTGACAAACTATTCTCCACCCTTCAACCTCTTTCTCTCAGGCAGGATGCGCCAAGTCTCTCACTGCTCTACTGCTATTCCTACGGAGAGTGCTCGGACGAGCTACATCCCCTGGTCCCATCGAAGCAAACCTTCACAGCAAGAACACGCCATGCCACTTACATAGTGGAACCCACCACCAACAGGATGTTTCCCCGATCACTACAATCAACGTGCTCAGGGTTAGGTTAAGTCTTCTTTTACTCCTTTACACACGAATGGTCTCCAAACGTGCCTCATACCGCGAGTGGCTCCCGGGCCTTGTAAAGAGTCAACCTCAGTGTAAAAAAAAAAAAAAAAAGAAAGAATGTACTGGCACTCGACTTCGACATTGAATCGGTAAATTTACTTTTAGTCCTGACTTCAGATGCAACTGAATTATTCAATAATCTTTAGGGCTTTAGGAAGTTGTGGAGAGACATGATCCCTGTAATGATACGGCAGATAGAAGAATAAGAAGAGTAACCCGTTGGAAAATAATGTTGGAAACCAAAGAAGCGAGAGAAAATTAGTTTGATCAAATCATCGATCGGTCGACTGATTAATAGACAGATCGATAAAAAGGTATGTCTATGCAGTAATTTACCTAAAGTCTGGAAATATATTAATCGTCAGACAACTGGTTTTTGTTCAAAATGTTATCAGTGGCTAAAAAGGAGAAAAAATATTACTGAGTATTAGAATGTGAGCTACTTCAGTTGCATTAGACTTGTTCGACATGTGGTTACGAGTCTTATAAATGTCGGGAGTTGACAGTCATGTTCCGACGTTCGCATCTGTACAGGTAGAATGGAACTGTTTGCATGCACCTCGCTGCAAGCACCTCTCTGCAAGTACTTCTCTCAAAGTACCACTTCGCAGGCACCTCTCCGCAAGCACCTCTTCACTAGTACCTCTTTGCAAGTACCTCTTTGCAAGTACCTCTTGGCAAGTACCTCTCCGCAAGTACCTCTCCGCAAGCACCTCTTTGGAAGCACCTCTTCGCAAGTACCTCTTTGCAAGTACCTCCCCGCAAGCACCTCTTTGTAAGTACCTCTTTGCAAGTGCCTCTTCGCAAGTACCCCTCCGCAAATGGGCCGAAGAGTTAGAAGGTTCGCTTTCTGACCATGAGACACTGGTTCGAATCTCACCATGGTCGATATTATTGTGCCTGAAATCCATACCAGGGGTTGATACATGCCTTGTAAGTGAAACTGGGTAGGCGGAACCTTTCGTCGCTAACACGACGTCACAAGTCTTTGCAGCTGAGGGTTTTAGCATGCTGGCTTTGTTCAGACTGTTGATCACGCTAGATAACGCACTATCTCCCAGATAATATAAACAAAGTCAGATCAGCATAGTTGCAGTATGAACCACAGGTAGGCTCTGTACGTGTTGAACAAACACAAATGTGCCCGAGCAAGCGTCTGCAACGGGGATTAGCTAGCAGCCCTAGTACTGAATTGCGTATAATGTTCCGGAGGGTGTTGTAAAAGCCAACTATATATATATATATATATATATATATATATATATAAATAAAACAACTAAAAAGTTGCAAATTGAAAAAATAATAATGTTTTTTATGAAAGTATTTATTTATACTTTTTTATATATATATTGATATTTCAGATCGACCTCGATCTTTCTTCAAAAATAACTGTAATATATATATATATATATATATATATATATATATATATATATATATATATATATATGTAGGGAGTGATGAATAAATTGTCAGCTAAATCTCATTTACCAAAATTACCAAAATGTATTGAAATACTAAAAAGTAAATTCATTAAATAAAATCGCCATTGGCTTCAACCACAGCCTCCAGATGACTTCAGAATCTTCTGAAACTCTTCTTTCTGGACAATGTCCTTGTTTAAATTGATGAATACTGCCATAATCGTTGCCTTCACTTCATTTTTGGTGTTACAAGAAGTTTTGTTAGTCTCTCACTCAACTGAGACCCACACATAATAATCAAGGGGGTTGCTGTTTGGAGCGTTAAGCGGTCAGATGTAAGGGTGTGTGTGGCATGGTGCAGAGTCCTCTTCCAGCAGTGAACCTCTTGACCAAGTGCAACACTACCTCTTCAAGGCACTTGATCTAGGTTTTCGTGTTGATTTCGAGCCCCTCACTAATAAATTCGGGAGATCTTTTCTATCAAAACGATCATAGTGAGTTTTCCAAGTTGACGTACTTTAGTAATCACCATTAGACTCATCAAACTTTTTCCGAATCCTCTGCACTGTCCTCAGATTGACACCCAAACACTCGTATTGGAGCTTCCGGTGCGAATGCCAAGCATTACAGCATGCCGTTTTCAAATTTCTGGCGAAGTGAATTGCGTCATGGTGCTCCTTTTCGCACAGACGGTGCCCAACTGACCCTACTATACTGCGTAATCGACAAAATCCAAAAGCTAACAACGCGCATGCGTGAAGTTAAAATATAAAATGGCGACGATTTAACCATCGCACCCTGTCGTCCTTGCAAATATTTTATAATATAGAATTGAATAAAATGTAATTATATGTTAATTTTTAAATATTAAACTCATTTATGACTCCATGTAATGGAATGATTTTGCTGGAAATTAATACTTCGGCTATATTTCTCAAGTATTATATTTCTAAAGGATTTTAAAATAAAGAAATGCAAGTTTTTCTATTTCAGTGATGCAGATGTTAATATTTCCCACGTATGACGCTTTCAGTATGCCATAAAATGTTATAAAATCGTGTACGGTTAATCACTTGAGCATCTTATTGAATAATTACAAAAGAAATATTTATTTTGATTTCCCTCATAACTGAGTCTGTTGTGTATATTGGTGCCAGTGTTTATGTTCAGGTGAAACCCTTCACTCAGAAGGCTGCTACTGCCTGATCTTCTCTTCTTTGCCTTTTCTGCCGTTCTAAACATAGCTTAGTCAATAACAGTACAAGCATTTATATCTTCTCTTTATCTTTGAGTGTTTAATACAGTATGTTATTATTACTATTTAAAGTGCAGACTACAGTCAAATGAAACCTTTTCATCTTTAATGAAATGAAACAGTCGCGATGGAAAACTTTTGTTCTGAACTATTCTTTTGTTCACCGAGATAGAATATTAAGGTTTTGCTATGGAATGCCTTTTTCTTTTCTTTCTTTCTTTCTTTCTTTCTTTCTTTTTTTTTTTTTTTTTTTTTTTTTTGGAACGGCTTGGCACTTAGTCTGATTTTCTCGAGTTGGAAGTAGATGAGTCGGGGTCAAAGTGAATATATCGAACCCAACGAAAGAAATGTCTATCGATTTTTTTTTGAGCGTGTCGCCGTTTTTGAAACAAAAATTGTTAAGTAAGTAGCAAGCAGATGATAAGAAGGATTTTTTTGTTGTTGTTGTTGTTGGTTTTTGACAATCATTGTTCATTTTTCTGCAGAATGGATTTCGTTCTTAGAAAGCAAACTGTCGACGAAATATTCGTTCAGAGACAAAAAAGCTAGCATTATTTTCTCGTAAACGTTATGGCTTCACTATGAATCTTTTTGCTTAAGTTCAATACGTCTGGGTCAACATGGCGGCTCAACGATAAGCATTGCGTAGTGTAAACAAAATGAAACAAAAGAACAGTGATGGGACCATTATTGTCAGATAATAATTCTCCACATTAGTAAATCAGTTAGCACATGCGTTACGCCTTGCCATTACCAAAGATAAATAATGAACAATTCCTTTTTGAGTCCGAGAAAAGACGTAAGAAAAATAAATATCATATGCGGTGTTTTAGCTTTACTGATAAAAGCAAAAGGATACATGGCGATTGCCTAAGCGTAGCTTATCTGTGGCACAAGGCCGAAAATGTGGGATACTCGGTGAGGATCAAAGTCACTATTCAGTCTTAAGTGGTCTTGTGAGAAAAGCATGCTAAACATTGGACCACGTCGAAATGCCCAATGATTTTCTAAGCTTAGGTTAGATGTGGCACAAGGCCAAAAGTATTGGGTACTCAGTGAGAATCAAAGTCTCTATTCAGTGTTTGGAACAAAGGCTGTGATTAAATGTCATGGAACAACGCTGGGAAGACGCGTACAAAGCCAAATTCTTTAAACCATTATTAATTTTTGACGCGTATTTATTTCATCTTATGTTTCGGTCCTTTTCCGAACGTTCACCGATGACGGTGAATGAGTGTTCCCTCGGGTAGGTGCCTTGCCTTGACCGCCTAATAGGGACTTAAACTAAACCATAGACCTGAAGTGGAACTCGTACATACGATCCATCGGTAAAGACGTTGAAAACATCGGTCCAGTAACTACCTGATTCCTCCCTTTACAAGCACTCCAGTAACTACCTGACTCCTCCCTTTACAAGCACTCTAGTAACTACCTGACTCCTCCCTTTACAAGAGAATCAGATCAGACCAAAGATGGAGTCTTTTTTATTCCGTAGTATCGATCTCTACTTGGTTTTGTGTTGAACAGTTTTTTGTTCTATCCTTTTTTCCAAAAATACAACTTTATTAATTATTAATAATTAATTATTAGTAATTATTAGTAATTATTAATAATTTGTCATTATTAATAAGTAATTTATTTTACAAAAATGTATTGCCTCTATTTCTCGACAACTAGAAACGATCAGAATATTATTCAATGAAATATGTTTCAATGAAAATACGCTGCCTAAATAAACATACATTCAATAATGTCCAGACTGATGCCAAACCTAAGGCTATGTGAAGGCATACTGAGACAGATTTCGATCCTATATGATGGAAGCTCCACTTCAAACCTTGTTCAAACGTGCTGTCCCCAAAACTGCTGCCCTTGCAACTGATTGGATCTTTCCTGGTATGGAGAGTATTATACCTCGCTACCAAAATAAAATTCCAGCGAAAACCAGTTAGCATTGTCTTACCCCTGAATGCGCTGCAGCCATAACTCACCAAAACTACGGCTTCAATATCTGTCGCAAGGAACTATCTTGTTTGTCACTCACTGTATTCAGAACTAATCGCAAAAAATCTTAAAAAAAACGCCAAGTGCAGCTACGCACGAGCAGTCAACACCAAGATTGAGAAGAAACAAATTGGATCCCGTGAACCAACCAATTCATGAACAGAGTTAAAACGGCTGTGTCCACAATTATAAATAATCTCTTCGCGTCGATCTTTGCCTCAAACTCAGCGTTAGACGACAAAGACCATCCCCTCCTCAACTTCCCACATCTCACTGAGCACAATCTCAGTAATATCACCATCACAGCAGGAGAAGACTCTAGACTTATCAAAGGCCTTGACCCTAAGAAAGTCACTGACCCAGACGAAATTCCAATGGTTGTCCTTAAGAATATCAACCCGTAATTATCCCCAATCCCAGCGAAATTATTCAATCCTTCCCAAGCCTATGGAAGGTGTCAAGTGTATGCCCGGTTTTCAAGAAGGCGGACGTGTGATTACCTGGTACAGACCCATCAATCTCTTCAGTATCATCAATAAGCTCTTTCGTCGAGAACCTAGAAAAGAATAAGCAGTATGGATTTCGATCAGCCTGATATACTGCTTACGTCCTAACTACCATTGCAGAGACGCTCTTGTCAAACACACCTCGAGGACCATAGCTTTAGATATCTTAAAGGCCTTCGACAAGGTGTGGCACAAATGTTTACTACACAAGCTCTCCAGTTATGGAATCACTGGAAGGGTCTTCTCGATCATAAAAACCTTCCAAACAAGTAGTTCCTTGAAGGTAGTTATTAATGGTCAGTTCTTCAGAGCGCTAGTGGTCGACGCAGACGTCCCTCAAGAGTCACTCCTCGGACCAACCTTCTTTTTGATTTACATAAATGATTTGCCCAAGAATATACTCAGATCATTTGCAAACATCTATGCTGATGATACGACTAATAACAGGCGCACCTCTAAAACCAAAATGGTCAGAGATCGACGACTGATCTGTCTTTCGATCTTGACCAAGCTACTGAATGGATTAAAAAATGACGAGTTGCATTCAATGCCTCCAAGACCAAACTAGTTTCATTCCATCATCGCTGATCCGACCTCGAGCTACCACCAATCGGAATGAGCAGATATTTCCTCGGGGAGGCACCTTGCCTCGAAAGACTATTGGGTCCGACCTCAATTGTAACTTGATCCATTGCTAAGGATTCAGTTAAAATGTTCGTCTCCCTGTACCGCTTCAGTAAGTGTGTAACTCCTCCTACTATCCTCTTCGTTTACAAGAGCCAGACCTGCCGAAAATGGAGCGCTGTTGCCATATTTGGGCGGAAGCTGTCCAAACCTCACTCTCCAGCCTTTATAATCTAAAAACATTTCCGTGCCCTTGTGAGTGACGAATTATTCTTCACCCTTCAACCTCTCTCCCACAGGCGGGGTTAGGGTTAGCTTCTCATTGGTCTACTGCTATTTCCACGGAAAAGTACTCGGACGAACTACATCCCATGGTTTCACTACGCCTAACCTTCACGGCAAGAACCCGTCAGGCCACTTACATAGTAGAAAAACCACCCACATTCTCTTCGTGTTCCATCGGCGAGAAGTAAGTTCCACTCGAGAAACTTCTTCCCGCGAACCATTGTCCTGGGGAATTGACTCCCAACAGGATGTTTCCGCATTCACTACAATCTTAACTTGTTCAAAGCTAGGGTTAACCGTTATCTTTCATTCCTATACACTCAAATGGCCTCTTAAGGTTTTTTTTTATATGGTTTATTTTCCACTCTCCAACCTTTCTCTCAAATTTAGAATGTGTCAAGCCTCTCGCTGTTCTATCGCTACTTCCACGGAAAGTGCTCGGGTGAACTATATTCCTTGGTTCCGCTAGGCCTAATCTTCACGACAATCCACGCCTTGCCACTTACATTATAACAATCCACCCACATCCCCTTCGTATTCCATCGACGAGAAGTAAGTTCCACTCGAGAAGCCTCTTAACGCGAACCATTGCCCTGACAAATCGACTCCCAACAGGATTTTTCCCCGATCACCACAATCTTAACCTGTTCAAAGCTAGGATTAAGCGTTATCTCCCACTCCTATACACACAAATGGCCTCCTAACTAGCCCTGTAAAGGTTGAACCTTACTATATATATATATTTGTATATTTAGGTAGCAATCCTTCCTTTATGCATGTTTCATTAAAAACGACAGACAAGGTACTACGGTTGAGCTTTTTATTTAATTTTTCTTGTGTTCTGACAAGAGCTTTCTTTTCTGGACAAAGAGTGTGTAAGAACTGTCCGAATGTTTTATATTTCCGAGCGCTTTCGGCTATACCTTTACCTTTTTATACCTCTACTAAGCTGATAATTGAATCATCCTTGATAATGGCTAAAGGTATAGCCGAAAGCGCTCGGAAATACAGAACATTCGGACAGTTCTTACACACTCTTTGTCCAGAAAAGAAAGCTCTTGTCAGAACACAAGAAAAATTAAATAAAAAGCTCAACCGTAGTACCTTGTCTGTCGTTTTAATAAATATATATATATATATATATATATATATATATATATTGATACACTCAAAACATTCTGGATTTTACCTTCTAAGTGTGTACAACTTGACACTTGCAAACGAACACGAATTATGTCAACTGGTGTGTCTGTGTTTCCCTCACTGAATTATTCCCCTAAGTGCTGGCCATGTTTTAGTTTTTATTCTCAATGAAATTGTCTTGTCAATTAACTTGGGTGCGGGATTGCTCAGCATGCAATACGAGACGACACGTACAACACGCCTACCTGTTAAACCTTTAACGTCGACCTTACTTTCTCACAGCTTCTTTCTAATAAGGACGATGTCCGCCAACGGCCAGTTGCATCGCCATCGTTTTGAGATGTCCACTTTTTTTTTAACCCCTGCTTTCTTTCAATTTGCTTGTCACCCCGCTCGAATCTTGATCTCTCTTTCTATGTATATCCATTTATAGGAAGTTACTGTAAGACGCCATGTTTGGAATTAGTCACGTGATCTTATAACAGCTTGCTTGGACTTTTTTTTCAAGTCGTAAGTGTTCGCCAGTCTCTGTTGGCATCTTTATTACACTTTGATGTTCTGTTAAGCCTCATACACAGAGAATATTATTAATTCCCGTTTTTGCATTTATCTTTGCCTTCCTGTTTGGTTATTTTCCATTCCGATTGTACTATTCGTTTTTTGGCGGGTGGGGGTGTCTCTTTTTTTCTGTTTTACTTAATCTGTTTTTCCTCATTCTATTTTTTTTTTTTTTTTTTTACTTTTTATTATCTTGGTTTCTTTTTTTTTGTCAGAATTTATCTTTTTTTTCTCTGGAAGCTTTTCTCTGGAAACTTCTTTCTCTGGAATTTTTCTCTTGATTTATTTTTCTAGAAGTTTTTTCTCTCGAAATTCTTGTTTCTCTGGAATTTTTTCTTTGCAATTTTTTTTCTTTGCAATTTTTTTTCTTTGCAATTTTTTTTCTCTGCAATATTTTTTTTTTTGCTGGAATTTTTTTCTCTGAAACGTTTTTCTCTGGAATTTTGTTCTCTGGAATTTTTTTCCTCTGGAATTTTATCTCTTTTCTAGAATTTTCTCGTTATAACTCTCCCTATTATTATTATTTTTTTCATTCCCTTTTTACTTTGCTTCACTCATTTCATCTACTTTCCCTTGGGATACATCTTTCTTTTAAAGATATCAATTGGGGACCTCGAATTCTTTCCTGGTCGACTTGTAAGAGGATCTTTTTCTTTCTCCTTGCCATTATCACGTTTTTTGCTTTCCCAGAAGAGTTTCAATTCAGAAGTTGTGCGTCCTGGGTATGACGATAAACTACATCCGTGGAATCACGTCTTAATTACTGTTATTCCTAGGTACACCTTGACCTAGAGTGGTAGCACCTGTTAGAGTCCTAGCTATGGGCAAATAGTTACCCCCCCACACACAAATTGAGGTCAAAACCCTATCAAAATATAAAAATATATTTTTATAGTAACAATACCAACAATACACTTTTGAAAAAAAATACCGGCAATACATTTGAATCTCGACAGAAACCCTCTTTTAAAAAATACGTCAATAAAACCTGATCTACAAACTGATTTCTTACAAAGAATACATATTCTATTCATACGAACCTATCCTAAAAATCTTGTCGACATTAAATATCCCATTGAGGTGTTCATATGCCATTAAAACCAAATAAATCAGAACTTGTATCCGCCCATTGCCTTGCATCCTTGTCTGTGATTGTTACTTGACGATTTTATAAATGTCTAATTTCTTATAGAAAACTTTTCATTTCAAACCAATAAACCTAGCTACGCCTTGGGGGTTGGCTACTTTGACATCTTCATTAAAACTTTCATTCGCTTTCGAATCCAGCTGCAAGCATTTTGGATGTATGTAATGATAATGACTATACAGTGATACCTCTACTTACGTCGTTTCGAGTTATGTCATTTTCGAAGATACGTCGGTTTTTCCTAAATATTATATGGAAAAATAAAACTCAAGTTGTTTTACTCGATTTTACGTCGGCCGTTAAAAATATTAGAAACGTCAAAACACTAAAATAACAATAAATGAATTGTGATAAATATGGCAACAAAAATGAGGATGATAGCTCGAACAATGTAAATAGTATTTTTGGGAGGAATAATTTTTTTGTAGATTAGCACTCATTTGAGTTTTCTCGAACCACAGCATTTGTCAGAATCGGAAAAAATGACTTGTTATCAGTTTAGAAAGAGGGTTATGTTTATAATATAAATTCAGTGCCAAATTGATGCCTGTTTTTTAAAGACTAAGCTGTAGTCTAGTTTTTATGTACAAATGTCAAGTTTGAACTCCTAATTCTTCATAAATATTTTCCTGTAAAATCTTTCTGTGTATCAGTCTTCTCGTGGTGAAAATCACTATTCTCGCTGATTAAACCGATTTATTGTCCATGCAAATCATTAAAATCTTTCTTTTTCGTCTATCCAGTCTGTTAATTCTATTATTTAACCATTATTTTAGCTTCGTGCATCTTTGCGAATATAGTGCTTCAATTGCTAATAGCATCGGTTATCGTCTGCCGTGCTGAAACGTTTCAAAGTGACTTGGACGATTAAATAGTGCTCAATGAAATTGTCGTTTGCAGCTGTTGCTGCAATGCATTTCGCAATGAGTCACACACTTTAATGTCACGGCAACCATTCATCTTTAGTAATTGAATTTTATAACTTAGACCGTTATAACTTCTCTAAATTAACAATGGCCGCCGATATGTTCAAATCTAAAATGCTTATAAATGTGGATATATTACAGTTTACTTCGTTCTACATTGAATAAAGTACTATGGCTTTTCCCTTTTCTTTTTCCCCGAGAGTAATTCTGTTTCATGATTGAATTTGAACATAAACGGCGTTAGACAGGAATGCCTACTCTCTCCAACATTCTTCAACCTGTTTCTGGAGAGAAATATACGCGAAACCCTCGGCGGTCACACCACATCTATATCTATCAGTCTTCAGCCTGCGTTTCGCAGACGATATTGAACTTATGGCGGACAGTAACATTAAGCTACAAACACGGACCAGCAAACTCGTTAAAAGAACCGCCGCATATGGAATAGAAGTTAACTCAGAGAAATCCAAAGTAATGGCACAAGCAATGGAAGTGTCAGCGTCACCATGGACGGCGAGACATTTGAGGAAGTTCCCAGCTTCAAATACTTGGAAGCAACCATGACCAGACTGGAAAACATAAAAGAGCAACATCATCTTCCATACTAAGTTTAATCTCTTCAAATCGCTGGTCGTATCCATTCTCTTCGACAGGTGTGAGATTGGACACTCCTGGTTGAGACAAAAAAAAGGAGCCAGGCATGCAACAACAAATGCTTGAGAAAGCTTGTCCGCATCTGTTACTGGGAGCACAAAACCAATGACGATATTCAGTCATCCCCCCACGAGGGTGTCATGTGGCACAAGGCCTTTTTAACTTGGGCATTCCGAGCCCGTAGGCTCGGCCAAAAATATGCCCATTGAACCCGTATAAACGGATTCAGGTCCGGTTTTACCTCCCCAAAACCAATGACTGTGTACAGAGTATGCTTAAAAGTCTGGTGGGCCGACAGGAATCTCCCCTTACCACTATTAAGCGTCGGAAGATGTCATGGTTTGGTCACGTCACATACAAGGCGCTGTTGAAGGCGGTGTTGCAGTTTTTTGTGTATACTATGTGCTAGTGAGTTAGCCAAAATGACTTAACTCACTTTATAGTCCACCAATAGAAGGTTAACCAATCAGAAGACGTAGAACATTCAATCCGTCGTGTATAAAGGCGGCCATTTTGTCTACTCTACCCGAATGTCCAGTTCCAGCTTGTCAGGAGAAGAGAAACAGAAGGACGAACTACGCTCTGCTACTTTTACCAAAATATCCACTGCTAACCTGAACTACGCTTCCTTACTGTTTTCGAAATATTCACTGCTAACCTCTGGATTCTAGACTCGAAGACGACCGTCATCATGAACAACAGGCGGACGCAAGCGGACGGCAACGCAAAAGCTGATCAGACAACATCAAAGATTAGACGGGCATGCCGGAACTCCTGAGAGCCACCGTCAACAGAATATCCTGGATGAGGGTGCCTGTTTCTTCCGCTCTTAGATCCTTCCAATGATTGAAGCAGTCATAGGACTGATGATAATGATGATGATGATGATACCCTTTCGTTTTTAAGGGCTTGAGTGTTATGTTGGAGGCAATATTTTGTGACACGGACTGAGGAATCGGAGATCCGAGTTCGAATTCCAGTCGAATCCATTGCATTCACGTACGCGCTAATAAACTTAGGAAAGGTATGAATCCATCTCTTCTCACCCAGCTATGGGTTAAATAGCAGGACAGACTTGCGTGGCAACCAGTCTAGGAGAAGGAAAACTGTTGCACTGTTGAAAGCGGACGCAAACGAGGACTGTAAAGCAAAAGCTGAGCAGACATCATCAAAGATTAGACGGACATGACAATGCCGGAACTCATGACAATGCAACCCGCCATCAGATCACCCTGGAGGAGGCTAGCTGCTTCTTCTGCTCTTAGGTCTCCCCGACGATTGAAGCAGCCAAGGAAATGATGAAAATCGAAATCAGTAAAGAACCGCCGCATATGGAAAAGAAGTTAACTCAGGGAAATCCAAAGTAATGGCACAAACAATGGAAGTGTCAGCGTCACCATGGACGGCGAGACATTTGAGGAAGTTCCCAGCTTCAAATACTTGGAAGCAACCAGGTCAAAAGATAGCCCGGCAACGCATAATTCTACACACGAATCGCCACAGCCACAGATGCGATGACTAGAATGGAAAAAATATGGAAGAGCAACGTCATCTTCCATACTAAGTTCAAGCTCTTCATATCGTTGGTCGTATTCCTCCTATTCTACAGAAGACACTCTTGGGTGAAGTTCGTGAACAAATTCAAAATTGAGAAAGCTTCTCTTCGGTGGACGGACAGTTGCGTACTAGACATTTGCTTCCCGGACAATTGTGTACCAGACAATTGCATCCCTGGATAATTGCGTACCTCTGATCATTTTTTGAAGTTTCATTCTTTTTTTTAAAAAGAGTTGTTTAATATAGAAATTTGCACACCAATACCTTTAATTATTCTAAGCTAACAGAAAAGTAATTACCCTAAATTTAAAAAAAAGAGAGAAAATTTCTTTTTTAAAGCTAGAGAAAATTAAGTTACAAGTTTCAGTTCATTCCAGCAGTGTGTACCACAAACATAATAGATTCTGGATTTTATAGATTATATTTTTATTTAGAATCCATGGTTAAGTTCCGAAAATCAAACACTTGTGGAAAAATATTTGCGGACGAGAAAAATTACTGCTACCACTATCATAAGAAAAACGCCGATGAAACAAAAACATAATGGCGATGTGTAGAGCGATCTCGTGACACTGTTAATCCGTCATTGCA